TAAATTGTAACAGCAGCTAAATTAGGCTGCTTTAGAGGAATAGCTCACCCAAAAATTAAAGGTCTGTTGTTGTTCCAAACCTGTATGAGTTTCCTTCTGCTGTTGAATGTAAAAGTATGTGAAGAGTTCATTTGCAAAACAGATAACTCCATGTTTAACCATTTTCAAAAATGATGTTTTTTCATTGTGCATTGGAGAGATTTGGTCTCCAATTGTTTTGTTTTTTTATGTTTTAGTTTATTCCTGCCTCTAACCCTCATTTACACCCACATTTTTTTTCACCTGACCCTCATTTTCACAGACTGACCTTCTGAATGACACTCATTTGCACCTTCTAAACCTCATTTAACCATTCTGACCCTCGTTTTGACAGATGCTAACAAATCTGAGTTTCATTTATAGCCCCAACTTCTACATTCTGGACGAGCCGACGAATCATCTGGACATGGAGACGATTGAAGCCTTGGCAAATGCCCTCAACAAGTTCAGAGTAAGAGCAGAATCTGCTCACGTCGCCCTCAGCCAATCTAATGTGTTTACAGCGTTAGTCAAAGCTTCTCCATCATATACAGTCAAACCAGCATTTACTCCGACACCTTCAACATTTCACAGTTTACTCACTATAGTTTAGAAAATGGTAATAAAGTATGAGAAGAACTCAGAGTTAAACTGTGTCAGAACAAATTCATCTTGATAATGTCTGACAACTTTGATAGAAAGGTATGTAATGAATTCAGCTGTTAAATTTAAGCACACAATTAAATAATACCAATTTAGCTCAACCAATCACCAAGCAATGCCTAATTCTGTTCAGTCTGTGGTGGAAAAAGGTCACATTAACAATTAAAGAAAAAACACTTGAGTCCGGTCAAAGTGTCTGAATCATTTTTGGTCCCAAATTATCATACATTTTTCTGGTAGTCCACTATATGAAGAATATAAAGTTTACTTTATTTTGCTATGCTCACTTGCATGAATGAACTGTAGTGTCCTGCAATATATCAAAAATGATATCTGGTGTCTTAGTAATTTTTGGTTTGACTGTAATTGGTTTCTCTGTCAGGGCGGTGTGGTTCTGGTGTCCCACGACGAGCGCCTGATCCGGATGGTTTGTAAGGAGCTCTGGGTCTGCGAGGCCGGGCGAGTTCAGCGCGTGGACGGAGGCTTTGACGAGTACAAGGATATCTTGCAGGAACAGTTTCGTCGGGAGGGATACTTGTGATGCAGACGTCTGTTTACCCGATCTGAGGAGAGCGTCTGTAGTCCCGGTGGCCAGCACGCTCAAAACCCATTTAACTTCAAACTCCCTAAATCATGCGGCTCAGACGCGTCCTGCGGGTTCAAGGCCGGACTTTTGTGTAGATGACATATTAAAGATGATGTAAGAAAGGCGAAGCAGACATATGCACTAACAGATGTTGTACTCCACACCGCTTTTAAAGATCACCCAACATACGGTAATAAAAAGAAAAACTGTCCAACGTTTTTAATTTGGTGTCTGGTCACTATTATTAATCAGTTTTTATCAGTGCTTAGCGTGTTAATCTGCTTTAATTTTTCCAGTTTAACGGTCTCTTTTTTTTCTTGACAAGAATTGCATTTATTGAGACGCGGAATGTCTTTAAGACCACATCAAACGAGACACTTTTAGACACGCACTCCACTTCACCTCGGCGCCAGGTGCGAGTCAAACGGTACAGGTGTCGAGGAGCTTCAGCAGAACAACAGTGAACTGAGATGTTGTCAGGCCATGCGTCAGTAAAAACTAATTTTCCTGTCATGTTATACTGGGCTCGTAGTGCATGCTCTTCAATTGCACGCACAAATACGGCGGTGCACGCTGTAGCCTATCATTTCATATTAAAGCGAGAATGAAACGACGAGCATGCGTGTCAGATCCGCGTCACGTTCAGCAGCGGCAGCTCTTAAAGTAATAGCAGCCAAATAACCTAATAACGTCTGTTGTAGCTTTAAGGATTCATCTATATTTAATTTAGAATTAAGTGTGATAACTTTATAACATTTCTGTGTATTTCATAATTGCTGAAGGGCACAGGTAAATATGACGTTTATTATAATGGGTTTATCTGAAGATTGTTTTAAGTTCACTTAAATGAGAAGTTTTTTTTTGTTTTTTTAAGTCTAGTAAATGTTAAAATTGATAGCTCTCAATTATACTGTAATGTTAAACTGCTATAGTCAGTGGTTAAATATTAGTAACAATTTCCTAGAGACATCAGTAGTATTGGTATCAGTGATACTCGCCTTCAGTCATAAAAAAGATGCCATTAAACAAATATTACAAATATACTGTCTTTGTTTTTTCTACATTAATTTGGAGATTGAATATAAAATTATTGCAATATAAAAGTATATTTAAAAACTTGAATTTAGAAACTTCTTGAATTCATACAAGTTGCACAACACCAATTGAGAGATTTCATTTTAAAACGTTTTAAAAATGGATTTGTGAAAAATGGTCACGAAAGACATTAACTGAATGAGTAAAGTTAATAAGAGGGGCTAAAAAAAACAGACGGGTAAAAGAGTTTGAACAAAAATTTAACGAGATCCTCCAAACGTCTTCCCGTGAAACCTTGAAGTCCCTGCTGAAAAAAAACCCAGCTAAAACCAGCCTATGCTGGTCTTAGCTGGTTTAAGCTTGTCAAGCTGGAGTTGAGCTAGTTTTAGCCTCACCAGCTCAAAACCCCTCTAAAACCAGTCAACCAGTGTTTGTTTTTTTTCTTCAGCAGGGATGGAAGCATTTCCTCTTATCTCACTCGTAATGACAAAAATCCCTTCAAGCTACACGATCATAAGATTGAAGAACAATAGCAAGCTTTGCGAGACCAAGGGAAATTGTCTATGAAAATATATGACAAAATGGACTAATTAAATGACATAAAAACATCAGGAAAATAAAGCAACACATGCATGTTTGTTCTCTTGAACGGAGTCGTCTGGGTTTAACTGGTCAAGTTTGGACCCAGTGAACTGGATTGGATGGTTTCATCTTCAGAGCTCATCTCAGAGTTGTTGTCATAGCAACAGCTCTGTAAGCACGAACCTGCTCCAGAGGAGACTTACTGCACATAATCAGGATTAAACCATGGCTTTATAAGCGGAGCTGATGCTGGAAGTCTGTCCCAGTCACTGCACCACTCTGACAACTGGAGGATAATAACTCAGTGTTATAATCATTTTGATTAGTTTATTATAAAACAATTGCTGCACATAATCAGGATTAAACCATGGCTTTATAAGCGGAGCTGATGCTGGAAGTCTGTCCCAGTCACTGCACCACTCTAATGACAACTGGAGGATAATAACTCAGTGTTATAATCATTTTGATTAGTTTATTATAAAACAATTTTGTAGTATAAAATACAGTACGATTTTACCACTGTATTTTTGCCTCAAAAATGTATTTTGATCTGAAATTGAGTACAGTAAGTCCAGACCATGCATTAAAATGAAAATTCTGTCTCAATTTACTCACCCCCATTTCTTAACAAAAATACAATTATTTCTTTCTTCTGGTGAACATAAAAAAATATATATTTGTAATATGTCGCTGAAAAATGTCTTTTTTTCTCTCTCTCCATACAGTGGAAGTAAATGGTAACAAAAACAATATATCAAAGAAAAAATGTTGTTCCATAAAGGTTAGGAATGACACGAGGGTGAATAAATAATGGCAGCATTTTCTTTTCTGGGTGAACTATCCCTTTATCAATATTGCTTTTATATATATAAAAACAATAATAATTCTAAATAATAGTAAGCAATACGTGTGTATTGCATCTCCTTCAGTGAAAACCGTATCAAAAGAAGCCGAAACATCAAGCTTTGCATGTGGCCTTGGACTGAAAGTCAGTCTGGCTCAGCGTTTATGAGAGGAGTCTCTCAGAGCAAGCGATCTGTAATCACTCAGCTCCAGCAATCATGCAAGAAAAGAAAACGCACACTTATTTCTACATGCACATGACGGGGTTGCTGATGGAGTAGGTGAAGCCACTGAAAGCATTTGAGCAACCATGTTTGTATGCGCAAGGAAAAGGTCTTAAAGTCTGAGAATAATAGTATTAAATGTTGTATAAGGAAATACAGTGAACCTTTGACATGGATGTTGTCAGTAACAATTCCCCGGCTCCGCTCTGATACTTTGTTTCTCAGGCTACAGCATGGTTCTCCATCTCTATTTAGGTTCCTCTGTATCTGCTGTGTCTCCTGAGGATCTGAAGGTCCTGGGATTAAAGGTACCTGATAATCTTGCCCAATTACAAGAGGCTGATGTGACACTGAAACCCCATGATGAACAAAACATATGGGGGAAAACATCTATGCATGCTGATGAACGCATATACTGTACCAGCATCTGTCTTTTCCGAAGGATTGCAGTCATTATGGGCAGACCATTGGAGAGTCCTTTGCTTTTCATGTTACAGATTGATTCATCAGGGATGATTTATGAACCCCAAGTGGTGCGATCCAAATTGTGGTCACCCAGGCACTACAGAGCTTTACTGTCGTGCCTCTTCATAGTCCAGCTTTTTTAAATGCAAAATGTGATTTCTCAAAAGGGTGAAATAGCACCAGGCATGCTTTCATAAGAGTTATACATACAGTATCATTTACATTTAAACACAAAAAAAATCTTCATTTTCAGAAAGCCGTTTATTTAGCAACAGTAAAAAAGTGGAAAATATTGTGTTTACATGACGATGTGCATTTTCCAGGGTGCAGCTTTTTAATGGACATACACAACAAAGAGCCCATTTCTCTAAATATTCCTGTTATGATTTCACTCTTTAAGATGTTTAGCTAACCTGCTGATGTCAAACCACAAATATCTGATGTATAAATGCAACAGAGTACCATCTTTGTCAAACACAAGCAGATTTTGTGTGACCTTCCAAAACACCCTTCAGCAAAACTGTTCAAAATTCAGTCTATTTTAAGAGTATTTGCGCACCATACATGAAGATTAGTATTTTAAGAGGCTCCTATGTTTAGATTCAGTAAATTCACTTTAATGGCAAAGAAAAGGTTATTAGTCAGTTATTGAATGCCTTATTTTAAAAAAATTATATTTTCACAGGAGCCTGATTTTAAAAAATAAAATAAAAACAGGACTCAAATGTCGCAGCTGGACTTACAGGTTTTTGCATATGAACTCTTCATATTTTCAGCATAGTTGTTTTCAGGACATTTATGTTTCATCCAGGCACATTTGACTGGATGTGAATCATTATTTCTTGTAATGTAGACTCTAATCTATTCAAATTAGTTGTCAGAAAAACACTCTTGTTCTATATCTAGTTGTATGGAAATAATCCATATTAATTGTTTAAAAGTTTCCGAATGTTACAAATGTTTTCAACAAATTCTTATGACGTTACACACATTAGCTCACATATCTATTGTCAGATTTGAATATGTCTTATATAAATTAATACTACACTTGAATGGGCTAAAAGATAAACCGTAGGTTATGATGACTTTGTGTCATCATAATCATGGCGTAGCACCAAAACGGACACTCGTTTATTTATATATATACAGTGTAATATAGACTCAGTTGCATTTCCCGAGCAGCAGGACGCTCCGTTCCTCCAGATGTTTGCAAAGTTTGAGGTCAGTATATGTCAGGCAGGTGTGAGTAGTTTCTGTCCCAGTAGCCGCCGGTGTAGAGCCAGTCTGGGGCTCCGGTGTAAGGGTTTGGCCCCTGATGAAACCACCTGCATGTGAACACGAGTTTGCCGTTAAAGTTAAGATCAATGCAATCATGTCTGTCCATCCTCAAAATAAATTTACACGCAGACAAACCAATAAATGCTGATAAAGTCCCAAATCATCATCACAGTGTTTAATGAATAAATGCATTGTGTATCCAAATTCTGGCTTTACTCACACCACTGCACTTTATTTCACAGTATGTGTACTTACAGTGTACGTACCTAAGAAAGTAAAGGGTAATATAAAGTGACTTCATGTGCAAGTACCCATTTATTACCAAGTAATACTGTAAAAATAAGTGCTATATTGTAACGTGTGCGATGTTATTGTAACAAATGCTGTGGAATCTCCACATGTCTAAAATACCTACATAATTGAACATACTACATAACTACATACTCTAAAACTAAGTCTTCTTATACAGGCATTTCAGAACAAAGAAGACCCCTGAGTTATGTACTTTTACCCATCAGTGTATGCTTTGTTGTTGGGTGTTTATTAACTCTTGACAAACCTTATTTTCCATTCCTCGTCTGATTTGGAGCGATGTTTCCGAGCCGTTCGTTGTTTTTCCTCCAGTCTGTTCTTCTCTGCACTGGCTGCATCTGGAAACAGCAGCAATGCATGTTCATCCACAATTAGTAAACATGTGTTCAGATTGTATATTACAGTTAAGCAGTCTTCTATTATGCCATTATATATAAACGGGAACATAAACTGATGATCTGTCACACATTCCAACAATGTGTTTAAATACCTTTATGCAAATGTTCAAAATGTAGCTCAAACACTAGAGCATGACACTAGAGTAATGCATGAGCTGAAGATAATGTATAGCATTGGATTTGTTGCGAAGACTGCAAATGAATCTGCAGAGGTTGTGAGTTTACTGGTTGAATGAATGTATTTCATCACGAGTCAATAAGAGGTTGATGTACCTATGTCTCCATTCTCCAGGGCTCTGATATCAGGTCTCAGACGACAGTCTGTCTGTGGAAGAGCTCGCTCCATCTCTGCATCCAGCTCATTCAACTGCAGAGCGAATGATGTGAAAGCATAGTACTGACAGAAAGAAAGAAAAGAAAATGAGTGACAGTATGCCACACAACAGGCATATTTATTTTTATACATATACTGTATATTAGTTTGACTAAGAGGGGTGGTTAAATGCATATAATAATAAAAAAAATAATTGTCTATGTACTTATGCATCATACAGACCTTTTTTTGTCATTATGCATATTTGTTATTATAGAGTGCTGCAGAGATTGCATACAGTATATTTTGATGATGCAATCATTTGAAGGGATTTAGCATTTCAGCACTTCTGAAGTCAATACGCTTTTTGAATTGGTTTTTGGTTACGGTCTGTGTTTCACAAACTCACCTACTCCCTAGTCACTTTCACAGCCTCTTTGTTTTTAGAATTGCACTCTTGCAAACTCAAGCTTTCAGATATTTTTTTGTATTACGTAGTATTACGTATTACGTAGACATTTCAAATAGTAGCTTTAGATATTTTATTGGATTCAACATAAAATGTATTACACATAAATGTTTGGGCTACAACGGCTAACATAAACTATGGAACATAAAAGAAGATAATTTAAGAAACATCTCAAATGTTTCAATTTTTTTCATTCATGCAATGGAAGTCATTGGTAACCAAAACAGCTTTTTACCAACAGTCTTCAAAATACCTTCTTTTATGTTCACAAAAGAAAGTCAGTCATTCAGGTTTGAATAAATGGTGACATTTTGTTTTTTGGCTCAACTATCCCTTTAAAGTGTTATATATATATATATATATGGGAGTCTTATGGGCAGTCTTCAAAATACCTTCTTTTATGTTCACAAAAGAAAGTCAGTCATTCAGGTTTGAGTAAATGGTGACATTTTTTTTTTGGCTCAACTATCCCTTTAAAGTGTTATATATATATATATATATATATATGGGAGTCTTATGGGGAAATAATACTCTAAATAAGAAACTAAAACGGCCAGCAGGTGGCGGTAAATGTCTTTATGAGTTATTTATTCATTCGATTAGCTTAAAACGCGGATTCATTCAGAAACTAACACCGCTGTTCCTCACACATGCACAACAGTTCTTCTGTGGCTTTATAGGTGTTATTTTTGTTGGCAAAACTGAGCAAAAACAGACAATATTGAGTTTAAAATATAACATAATATTAAGCTTGTGTGATATCGCTTATCATGTGATATAAATGTGAGACAAAAACTCATATAGGAGCATTTTTGCACCAATATGTTGAATATTAGGCCATAACTGCATCATATTTGTCAGCAGTCAACTGTATGAATTGTAAGATGACGTACAGGTCTGGGGGCGGGGGCGTTAACTGCGTTAAAATATTTGAATTGCGTTATTTTTTCATAGCTAATTAATTAAGTTAACGTGTTAAACTGACAGTCCTAATGTGTGTTAGCTTAAAACGCGGATTCATTCAGAAACTAACACCGCTGTTCCTCACACATGCACAACAGTTCTTCTGTGGCTTTATAGGTGTTATTTTTGTTGGCAAAACTGAGCAAAAACAGACAATATTGAGTTTAAAATATAACATAATATTAAGCTTGTGTGATATCGCTTATCATGTGATATAAATGTGAGACAAAAACTCATATAGGAGCATTTTTGCACCAATATGTTGAATATTAGGCCATAACTGCATCATATTTGTCAGCAGTCAACTGTATGAATTGTAAGATGATGTACAGGTCTGGGGGCGGGGGCGTTAACTGCGTTAAAATATTTGAATTGCGTTATTTTTTCATAGCTAATTAATTAAGTTAACGTGTTAAACTGACAGTCCTAATGTGTGTGTGTGTGTGTGTGTGTGTGAGAGGATGCTGTCTGTGTG